TTCTCGATCACCATGGGTTATACGAAGTTAGAGTTCTGTACTTCTCCTATGGGTTCCTCTGACATTTTCCGAGAAATCGTTACATTCAGAGACTACACGAGTCAGATCTCGTTAGCCTCGGAAACTGCAGAGGGGAGTTAGATCTGTGGATGGTAATGGTACCTGTACTAGTAATCCACTTTCTCTTGCTCTCTCCAACCTCTGTTTCAGTCGAGTGTCCAAGGGAGATGCAGTTTTCTATTTTAGGTCAACTCTGCAGTTCTTTCTGTTGAGATGTTGTAGTTTCTCAGGGTTTCCCTTGGCTCCCTCAAGCCAACTTTTGCGTGGCCTTCCTCTTCCTTTATAGCCTAAGTACTTTGGTGTCGTAGGCTCTCGAGGCTGGCAGTCCACGCGACATTTGTAACAGGTGGCCAAACCGAATTGTTTTTTTCTGAGACGTAGTATTGCATTCAATAGTCGGGAACCAAATACATGTATATAGATATTGCTTTTTTTTAAGTGCGCGGTTCTGATAGTGCGCGGTTCTTATAGTGCGCGGATTTGATTTTTTTTCTTTCGAAAGAGCGTAGGGCTGGTTGCTTCCTGTGTGTGTGTGTGTGTGTGTGTGTGTGTGTGTGTGTGTGTGTGTGTGTGTGTGTGTGTGCTGCTGCTGCTGATGATGATGATGATGATGATGATGATGATGATGATGATGATGATGATGATGATGATGATGATGATGCTCTCTGATGCTGCTGCTGCCGTTGTTTGATTCAGTTATTTCAGAACTACCTCATGACTCATATAACAATATTATCTGTTTCTCACTTCTCTAGGCAATACGGGTTCGCGTGGCCTGAACGAATGAACTGCGAGGACCTACCCGAATTCGGGGCCAAAGACTCGCTGTGCATGGATGCGAACCACACGGATCGCAACACAGCCCCGCCCCCTAACCCGTCCTACCACAGACCGACCCCGCCCACGCCCAAGTCCAAACCGTTGCCCAAAGGAGATGGCAAGGTCCAGTCGCCTGGCTCGAGAGCCCCGCCCACTTGGGGCGTGGGTCAAATAGGCGGTCTGCCCATCCCCAGGCGTAACCCGGGCGAGGTGAGGCCGGTCCCAGGCGATGTTGCAGAGGCACCCAAAGAGAAAAAGTGTGTCTGTCAGTGCGAAGACCCTCTTGTGGTGAGTGATTTCTGTGGTAGTATTAATGATAATAATAA